TTTTTTTTTTTTTTTTTTTTTTTAACCAGGGCTCTAAGCTGGCCCAGTACTATATGCTCCACCTATACCATCTCATTGTATTCTGTGAAGAAATTCCCCATTTTATAGGTGAGAAGAGTACGGCTCAGAGAGGTTAAGCAATTTCCCCAAAGCCACACAGGCAGTGAATGGAGGATTATGCACTTGCTGTACGACTCCAGGACCAGCTCTTAACCAAGGTGCTGCCTCTTGGCCAAGACTCAGAAAGTGGAGGTGACTTCCCCAAAGCCCTTGCTCTCATCCCTGCCCTGGCCCCTCTGTATAAATGTCCTAACCTCTGTGCTTCACTTTCCCCACCATAAATAAGCTGGTAGTAACATTTGCCAATGACACTCATATTCTCAGGGCTTCTGGAGCAGATGCCATGGTCATCAAGGGGAGTACCCTGGGGTACCCTCCATCCATTCCTTCCTGACAGACTCCCATGGGCCTTGCTGGCTCTGTGCTCATCTGAGAGGAAGGAAAGCCTGGCTCTCCTTGACCTTTTCTTCTCAACTGATGGACACACGTGGGCTGGTGCTGAGAAGTGGAGGCCAGACAGGTCAAGGGACCAGTAGATCTAGACTGGAGGAGTTTCTGTAGGAGGAAAGGGACATGGGGGTGGAGTGGGGGGAGGATCCAGTACAGCAGTTGAGATCACATCCCAAAGCCTCTGCAGAGCACCTACCGTGGGCCAGCCTGCTGGGGGTGCAGAGGGCGCAAGACGCTGATAGCAGAGACAAGTTTGTGTTGAAGATGTCTACCTGCTCCACCATGGGCAGGTCTCCCCCATAATGTGTTCTTCAAGCATCAGCTGCAGGACCCTGAGGGGAGGCCAGAAAACCCCATACCCTGCCTCACCTGAAAAGAAAACAGGCCAGTAGGGACAGGGGAAAGTCTTGAGGGCAGACTCAGAGCCTCGGGAAGGAGGGGACATTTGGGCCGGTCCTGAAGAGATGAGCTGGGTTTTGACCCATGAAGGTAGTAGAGAAGGACAGGTGGCCAGAAGGAAGAGGCTGGACAATGTCAAGCGGGGAAAGCAGGATGCCTGGAAGATGCTCCTTGCTGTGGGAGGGGAGGCTGAGGCTGGGAGCCTGACGGCAGAGGACCTTGGCCAGCAAAGTGACTGTGGGCAGTCCTCAGTCTTCATGCTGCCCCACAAGTGGACATAGGACCCGTCCTGCAGCCATCTGCCTGCCTCTCACTGAGACAAACTCCCCGGGCCCACGCCGAGACAGGCTTTGGCTCCTTGCAAACCAGCTCGAGCTGTGGTCTCCTTCCCCGCAGCTGCCTGGGCAGTTCACTGTTACCCCAGCACGTGTGTGTGACCTGAACGCCCTCTGTGTGAGAACGGGGGCCAGGACCGGGGACTGGGGGAAGGGCAGGCAGGAATTAGAGCTACTTTCCACCTCCAGGGACAGTACAGGTCTTCCCTCTTGCTGTGAGTCACCTTCAGGAAAGACACAGGGTATGACAAACCCCCCAGCTCTGAACCCACCCAAATCCCACTGTTCTGTGCTCCAGGGTCCCTGTGTACATGGCAAAGAGCACACTTCCTGTTGTTGAGGGAGGAGAGATTTTAAAGGACTCCAAAGAACTCTCAACTTTGTACAAAGTACAAAGGAAAAATTTAAAAGAGCAAAATCCCCCCAAACCATATGGATTAGATTTTCTCCAAAATAGAGATTTGCAAAGTGACAAAAGCTCTGGCCAGGGAGAAGGCTCAGGAGAACCATACTTAAACGAGGTACAAGCCCACTTGGGGCAGGGGCAGAAGGGAAGTCACCCACTGCCCCCAAGCCTGCGTGGTTCTGCTGTAGCCGGCGTCCTGTGACGTCAGCCGGCTACCTCTCCACCGCAGGGCTCCTGCCTGCCAAGCCGCCCCTTCTCCAACTGTGCACCAGCCGCGGTGAATGAGCTCTCTCTCCCCGTGAATCACCAGAATTTGGCTATCTTGTTTTAGACCATTATGGCAGCCAGTCTCCAACAGGGCCCCCCAGACTTACCATCCATGCCTTTGTGAGGTCTCTTTCCACACTGAATTACAGCTAATCTGCATGACCAACAGAGTATGACAACGGTGAGAAGATGTGACTCTTGAGGCTAAGTTGTAACTGTCATGACAGCTTTTGTCTCAGTCTCTAGGGTCACTGGGGAAGCCAGTCACCATGCTGTGAGGCTCTCCCCAAACAACCAGCATCAACCCGGCAGCCGAGGCAGTGAGCAGGCAGAGCCTTCAGCCCATCAAGCCCTCAGATGACCAAGCCCTGCCCAAGACCCTGACCACAACTTCACGAGAAACCCCAGGCCACAACGGCCCAGTCAAGCTGCTCCCCGATTCCCGACCCTCACAACAGTCAGAAAATGCACGTATGTCGTTATTTTAAACCACTACGTTTTGAGATGACTTATTATTACACAGAACTAGAGGTCTACTATAAGCTAATGTAAGCCCACCATTTATTAACATGTATTATATCTAAGCGTAATGGTCAAGACCACGGGGTCTACATTAGATAGGTTCAAAGCCTGCCTCTACTGGTTTCTGGCTCTGTAGTCTTCAGTCAGCCGTTTAAGCAACCTGTGCCTAGACATTCTCATCTGTGAAATGGGGGTGCTACTTGTACCTAAATGAAATCATTCTTTTTTTGTTTTAAGTGTATTTATTTTGAGAGAGAGAGAGAGTGTAAGTGGAGGAGGGGCAGAGAGAGAGAGAATCCCGAGCCGACTCCCAACTGTCAGTGTAGAGCCCAGGGGGAGGCTCGAACTCAGGAACCGTGAGATCATGACCTGAGTCGCCATCAAGAGATGCTTAACTGACCGAGCCACCCAGGGCCCCCTACATGAAATCATTCTCAACTGAAAATCAATGCACGTGAAATGCTCAGCCCCATGGCCAGCACAAGGCCAACAATGAAAGTTAGCTCTTATCGTTGTTAGGCCTCTGTATCCTGACGTGTGCTCATGCCTGGTCTGTGTCAGCACAGAACAACTCGCTGACATCAGCTGGACCGACCAGAAGCAGACTGCTTTTCCAGATAACTCATTCCCTCACCCAGGACCTCTCCTGCCCCAGATCCTTCCTGCAAATAGCTTCCTCAAGAAAACTCTCAGTCTTGAACACTGGAGGTTCTCTTCAGCCTGCTAGCCAGTCAGGTTTGTGCATCTCCCCCCAGGAGGGTTGGGATTAGAACCTGCAGGGCTCTGGGCCCTGCTGATGCTTGGGAGGCCACGTGTATGACCGCCACGTGTATCGGGGTCATATGGCCGACCCAGCTTGGGCTGTACGGGGAGAGAGTGGCCCCAGTTTCTAACATGCAGCCAGACGCTTCCCCACCCAATCTGTGTCTCTGAGGGCGGTGACAGCCCAGGGATGCCAGCTGGTTGGACCCAGCCATGGGGAATCTAAGAGGGGAAAGACCAGTCACCCCCTCCAAGAACAAAGCCAAGGAGTCCTGCAGCGAGGGCACATATATTTCTTCACCATATTGCCAACCCAGCCCAAAGGGAAGTCATAGGAATGCCCCAAGAAATACTTAAAAGTGCATTTTAAAAAAGAAATTCTTGGACAAAACTGAAACATGACCAATGATTTCTCTCCCATGGCCTCTCAACTTCACTGTCCTCAGGAGGACTAGGGAGCAGGTGAGGGGCAGCCATCAGGTCACCGGGGAGGGGAGGGAGGAGGGGGGCCATGGAACCAGTGCACCGGGACAGAGTGGCTATGAACGTGGGTACCATGGTGCACAGTCCCAGGAGCAGGTGGGGTGGGTGAGCGCATGCTGTTGTCATAACCACGTGCTGCAGCCTCAGAGCCATCTGCCATGGTGTGGGGTGAGCCTGGAGTCTGGGGTCAGGCTGGGGCACCAGGAAATGGTATCCAGAGAGGCCAGGGAGGGGAGGGCCTCAGCAGATGTGTCATATGCTGCTCTCCCCTACCTGCGGCTGCAAAGCATGGGGAGCCAGGGAAGGAAAGGGGGAAGGAGAAAAGGCGATGTGGGGTGGCCTCCACGGTGCCCGATGGCTGGCAGCTGGCTCTTTCCCTGCTGCATCAAGACCCAGTGACGAGGGGTGTGTAGGGAAGGGTTTTAAGTACTCAGGCCCTGAGCCCACACAGCCCTGGCTATGAACCCCAGCTCCGCTGTCTGTGAGCTGTGTGAGCCCAGGCAGGCAACTTACCTCTCTGAGCCTGTTTCTTCATCTGGAGAATGGAGCTGATGCAAGGGTCTACCCCCATGAGGATACAGAGATGGTCTCTGTAAGGTGCCTAGCACATAGCAAATGCTCACTAAATGCAAGCTGCATGCATTACTCCAAAGCACCACGTTAGCGCACCAACTCCAATCCTTGTAGTGAAGTGATTTATTTAGTCTCTGGTCTGCATCCCTCAGTTGTTCAGAGGACCCTGGTCCTGCTCCCTTCCTCTGAGCTTGGAACAGGCTACTGCACAGGAGGACCGTGGGACGGTCTGAGTGCTGGGCCGGGCAGACATCTCCTTGGTGGAGTGCCTTTGGGGGCTGCTGCTGTCCCCTTGGCCTCGGGCAGTTTTTCCAGCTAGGAGGGCTGAGGGAGCACCCAGGGCTGTGGGGTCACTTCCTGAGGCTGAGGCTGTGGCTGCGGGGGGCACAGGCTGAGCATCTCAGCTTCAGCCCTCGAGGAGGACTGCTCCTGCCCCAGGCCTGCTCAGTCGGACACTGGTGTGGAGGTGCACCCTGGCAGGGCACAGGATCTTCTTGTTGGCCCACCCAAATAGACTGAGAGGGGATGGACAGGCCTGCCAGCGTTTGGGCTCCTCCTGCCAGCTCCATGGTTCCTAGGCACCCAGGCAGAGGGGGAGGTAAGGCAGAGTTGTGGTCCCAGGCCAGTTCTGGAACCCTCACCCCCAGCCACGTTCAGCTCTTGCAGATGAGCAGGTGCTGGGGCCCAATCTTCAGCGGCTCCAGCTGCTAGTAACTCACACTCCTTCACAAAGTCGCTGCACCAGGCCTGGGCAGCATCCCTGTGGGCTCCTGGCTCCCCAGCGGAGAGACTGGAGGCCCAAGGCTGGCGTGCAGCTCCTCCTCGAGGGTTCTGTAGTAAGGCACGAATCCCGAGCCACCAAGGGCATGGTCCCTGAAGGCAGCATCACTGGAGGAAGGGGCAGTCAGGCCGCTGTCATGGCAGTGCCCCTCTGGGACCAGCAGGATGGGGCAGCAGGGTGGCGAGCGAGAGGACCCAGGGAGGTGGTCTGGGCTTGCCGAGGCAGCCTGTGTGGGAAGGAGACAAGACGGTCAGCCAGGCTCCCAAGTTTGGCTAGAAATCCAGCGCTGGCCTTGTGCCTGCAACACCCCAGCAGCGGTAGGGAAGGAGGCAGGGTGCATGACTACTCTGCAGACTGGAGAACAGTGAGCAATATCATTCAGCCCCCCGGGCCTCCCGGCCGGAAGGAGTGCATCTGGGATCACAATCCACTCATCCCGCCTGCTCCGTCTCTGTGGTCACCGCACGGCCCCCAGCTCTGTGACTGGTAGTGACACGACAGGGCACCGGCTTGGGGTCGGAGCCCAGGTTTGCTCTTGCTACCAAGTTGCTTAACTGCCCTGAGACTCATTTTTCTCCCCTCTGTCATGTGGGAGCAGCAATCAGCCGTCTCTCATCGGACTATTATTAGGACAGGTGAGATGATGTACTTGGAGCATCGGCTGGGGTGCCGAGCGAGTCATAAGGACTACACAGGTGCTTCTGTTGGGGAACACCGGCTAAGCCTGGCGTTACTGTACATGATTCTCACAACGGCTCCCCCAGTAGCTCCACCATTGCCTCCCTTTGTAAGGACTTTGAAGCTCAAGGGGCTTAAACACATTCCCCGGGGCCACGCCCACTCACAGAGCATGCGCAGCTGACGGTCATCCTGCAGACGCAGCCGGCCAGCGCCTCCTTCCTGGTGCATGGGTCTCGGGAGCCCCAGCATGACCTGCCGGGAAGGCCCAGCCTGGGAAAACACTCCTCCTTGGAGCGGTAGAAAGGGAAGAAGCCGCTGGGCGGTTCTGAGTCCTCATGGAATGCTGGATCTCTGACAGTCTGGTCTCCTTCTTGGTCCCTGCAAGCCTCAGGCTGTGGGACCAGCTCCCCCACAGCCAGGAGAGTCCCATAGGTGCGAAAGAAGGGCAGGTACTCTAAGGCCACCGGAGACCCATGGGAGAGGTCAAGGCTGCTGAGGGGCTCACTGCCCCTTGAACGGCTGGCCTGTGGGTGCTGGGACAGGGGCTCTGGGCCGGCCGCCTCCAGGAGGCTCTGGGAAGCCGAGACGCTGGGCTCAGGCTCACAGCTCTTCTGGGATGACTGGAAAGAGAATGGTGTTCCACCTGTTACCGCAGCCCAAAGTCCCCGCCCCCTAGCCCCCTCTCCCATTCCTGCTGACACTGGAGGCCAGAGGGGTCTTTCCAAAGCATAAACCTGAGTGTGCTCCCCTCCAGGAGAACCCAGCGGCAGCTGCCAGCCACAGTCAGGTTACCCAAGAGCCCTGCATCCTTCCCCCACGCACAGCTGGTTCCACTCTGTATACACAGGCCTCCTTGCCCTTCCTTGGTCACACAAAGCTTGGCCCTGCTTTAGAACCTATGCCCAGATCTGCCCTTCCCCTCTCAGTTCAAAGGAGCTTTCCCAACCCCTGCCTCCCCCAATCCCTGCGCTGACTCCCAATCACTCCAGCCTCACATCTCCCATGCTGGAACGTTCTTGGTCTGAGTCTGCCTATTCTGGGGTGTGGTGGTCTCGTCTCATTGTGGGCATGCAATATTGATACTTTTCCAACAAATGACGGGGCTAATTTGCTGACTCTCAGGCCATCTCATATTCCCTGCACTGTCCAGTCCATCCACACAGACCTCTCAGTCTTTCTCAACTCGCCAAGCAGCCTCCTGCCACAGGCCCTTCACTCATGCTAATGCTCCTGCCTGGAATCTCTTCCTTCTCCTTTTTCCTGGTTGACAACTTCAGCTTGTGGCTCCAGGCTCCCATCCTTCCCCGGTTTAGCTGCTTCACTCTGTTGCTGACTTCCACCACCCTGATGCCCCTCATTCGGAGCATCCACACCTCTGCTGTGAAACATTCATCTGCATGGTGACTTAATATCTCTCATCTCACCAGTTATAAATTCCACTGAGGCTAGGCCCATCTGTCTTCTGTATCCTCAAGGCCTAGAACAGCCTTGGCATATGGCAGATACCAAATATTGGAATAAAGGAAAGAAAGGTGGGAGAGAAGGAGGAAGAAAGAGAATATTAAACTGGGCTTGTCCAGGAGCAAAGTCCTTGCCAGACTCCCTGTCAATAGGAAGGGGAAGGCAGGTCTTGTGGGGAGGCTGGGAAGGGGAATAAGGAATTACTTCCCAGGCCCAGAGTGGGACACAGAAGCCCAGAGCACCCGTCAGTGAAAAAACAACCCATTCTCCACCTTTGCCCATCAGGGTCAGACCCAGAGCCCACGGGTACATGTGGCGTGCAGGGGTACCCCGTGGATTCTGAGTCCCATAGGAAGGACTTATGGTCTGGCCCTGGCCTTCTTGATCCTTGCTGGGGTCTCTGGGCCTTGAGTTCCCCACCCCAGCCACATGTGTGGTCATGCCTGTCCTAACTCCTTGTGTGCAGCTTGACCACCACTGTCCCTTTTGAAAGTCCTAACCCTTGGTGACGGCCCATGGCCCCACAGACTGTGAGCTCCTGAGGAGCAGGGACCAGACCTCCTCCTCCTCCCCAGACACACCACGGCCCCTCTGCAGGTAGACCACGGGAGCCCCCTCCCAACTTTGCTGGGCCTAGGGAACAAGATGGTGTGGAGGCCCTGTCAGGGTTGGAGGCCAAGCCTACCCTGCTCTGAAGCCTGTGCTCTTTTCACAATGACCTACATGGTATTGTGGTCTCAACTGTGTCCCCCATAAGATATGTTGAGGTCCTAACTCCTGGTACCTGGGAAAGGGATCTTATTTGGAAAGACAGTCTTTGTAGATGCAGTCAAGGTAAAATGAGGTCATACTGGATTAGGATGGCCCTATATCCAATGACTGGTGTCCTTTATGAGGGAAATTTGGACACAGACACAAGGGGAGCATCATACAACAGTGGTGGCAGAGACGGGAGGGATGCTGCCCAAGCCAAGAGATGCCACGGATCGCCAGGAGCCACCAGGAACTAGGAGAGGCAAGGAACACCTTCTCCTTGAGCCCCCAAGAAGGAGCCTGCCTTCAGAACTGTGACAGAACACACTGGTGTTGTGTTAAGCCACCCAGTTTATGGTGACTTGTTTCAGCAGCCCCAGGACACTCACACATACAGGTGGGTTGGATGGCTGATTGTGTGGCTGAAGGGAGTCAACACAAGAATGAAGGCTTGCCGAGCCTCGTGAGCAGTTTATGGGGAGAGTCTCCCTGCAGGGGCTGGGTCTCCCTAGACCTTACCCTTCCTGCCATCCAGAGGTGTTGGCCCAGAGGCTCTCCCATGTCTGAGTCTTGCCCGCCTGGGCCCTGGCTCCACTTCACCAGTGGGTTCTGGATTCAAGGAGGCCAGGTATGTCCCCACCTACTCTCCAGAGGGGCTTATGCTGTCCCTTGGCCACCGTCTCGGCATCCGTTCTGGAGTCAGTGGTAGCCCCACATTGTGCCATGATCAAGGTTAATCTTCAGACTCTGATGGAAAAGACAAAGCTGCCCTTGGCAGATCCCTTCCTCCTGGCCTGCTCTTCCCCCTGGCAAATCCCCCTCTGCCTGTCAGAGAAGGTTCCACCATGAAGTCACAAGGCCTGCTGCCAGGCAAGAAAGCCAGATGGCACCATTACCATGGAGACCCCTGC